TCGTAGACCATTCAACTACGTTATTTCTGTCGCCATTACTGACGCCATTACTACTGGATGTTTGTTGTTGTGTAATGGATATCGGTTCGTGTTCGTTACGCGCAAATATTATGTATCTATGCTTATACATCTCTTCTCCTCATCAGCTATGAGTTGAATAACATGACCAACTGGGTTCTCTCCTTTGTTGATGACCAGTCTACCGCAAAAAGAAATAGCAACCTACTGCGGGAAAAAAAATCTGTCTTGTCATTCATCAATCGAAAGATATGTGATCACTCAAGAGTGTATCACGTATGGTACTTAACTGACTGACTACTGCTTATTACGACAATGAACGATCATTGGCATTTTTTGGCAGTGTTAGTAGATTACATAAGCTTAGCTTAATAAATATTAATGCAACACTGACCTTATACCATACTAAGTTAACTAAATCCTGAAGGAATTTCGCAAATAACGAAACAGAATGATAACCAAGCCAAATAGAATTTTACAGAATTCGCAAAAAACTTCTTTCAATTCAACATTTGAATTATTCAGAAGTTAATTTTGTTTTCCAAAACAGACAGGGGAAAAAACTAATTCTGTCGAACTATCTCAACATGGAAAACATTAATTTCGTGGGGAGAAAGCCAAAATTAATTATCCCCGGAAATAATAGAAGAGGTACGTATCAGTGTATTTTTTAAAAAATAGCCTCATTGATCCATACACATACTCACAACAATCAATGCATATGAGACTTAAGCGTGAATGTCGTCTGCCTTGAAGTGCCAATAATATAGCGTTCAGAAAGTAATTGCGTTTTACTAGAGATAATATAAAAACAAACGCAAGCCGAATTTATCGAAATACTATCTTAAATATCTTCTCTATTTAAAGAATCTTCTATGGAGGGCTCTTCATTGGGCCTTCATCATAATAGGTAGGAAACGTAGATGCGATAGGCAACAATAAACTAGAAAAACTCAAGGTTGATCGCTGCATTTAACTATTGCATTAATATTTAAGCTTACGTTTTAAAAGTTCAACCATATTCTGCCGCCACTGCCAATATAAAGACAATTTGATGTACGTAGGTCCTCACTTATTACATAAAACAATTATTTTTATTTCATAGGTGACTTTCACTGGTTTTCGCAATTAATTTCGATTATTCCCAAATTTATTTCTAAGTTATAAAAATTTTTATCGTACAAAAAATGTCGCAAAAAATCACGTAAAAATTATCTCCGAAAACAATTGCAGTAATGACAATTTTGGAATCCAAAATTTCAGGATTAGGGGTCTGTATCCGGTGCGAAATGTTTTTAATTTGCCCACGGAGTCGACCTGATTCCAAAATAGTATGTTATGTTGGGCTACTGCCTCTAGAAGTAAAATTGAAAACAAAAAAAATTTGTTTAGAAACACTGTAATCTGAGAACCGTAATTTTTTCATTTGAACATGAGCAATTGATAGGTTAGTGATTTATGTTGTTTAATTGTTTTTATCAGTAGAAGCCAAGATGGCGGAGTCCGAAAACAATTGCAGTAATGAAAAAGCGAGAATCCAAAATTTTAGGATTTCGAGTGCGGATCCAACACGGAATATTTTTTATTTGCTCACGGAGTCGCCCTGATTCCAAAATGGCGTGACATGTTGGGCTACGACTTCTAGGAGTTAAGTTGAAAAAGTGTGACACACTGATATTCTTATTAATTATATACAATAGGGTGTTCGGAAAGTAATTATGCTTTACCAGAAGGTATTTAACAACAAATGTAGACACAATTTAATTAAAATGTTAATTATTAATATGGATTTAAACGCCTCTAAAACGAAACTGTTCTCTTTTAATCGTTTAGAGAACCATTTTTGCCTTTCATCAGCATGGCTGAGAAAGTGACATTGCGCCTTCTCGGACTAATGTTTTCTGCTGACATGAAGAAGAAAGATTATTGAATGAATTGCTAAGTCTGCTTTTAGCAAATTTGTTTCTGCTGTGTTGTGCTAGACAATTTTTCACGCAAGAATCTATCATATATTTATAAGTCTATCATCGTCCTTGCTTTGAATATTGCTGCCACAGCTGGTCTACCGATGCTGCTATATATTTAGGAATTATTGATAAACTCCAAAGAAGAATCTGCAATGTTATTGGTCCTGACCTGGCATCTCGTCTTCAGCCATTTTCCCACTGACGTAATGTTGCTTCCATGAGTCATTTCTATAATTTAATGGTAATTTTTTTAATGAACTTTCCTCTGTGGTACCTATACTTTCTGAATGAAAACTGAGTACTGGACTGGCGGCAAGGCCTCATCCTTTTGCAGTTGAAGTGGCTAGATATAACCGTAAGTTCTAGGTTAACAGTTTCTTCTATTACAATTCTTGTGGAACTCGCTTCCGGCTTCTTGCTTCCCAGTCAACTGCTCTTCTATTGATCTCTCTCCCTTGATAATATTTTTCTCATAATCTCTAACATTCAGTAACGCCTTGATTTTTTTGCTGAGTGTGAAATGATAAAAAAAAAAAACACGCTTATAGAAATTTGGGGTTTACCCTGAAAAATTATAGATTTTTTTTTCTCAAATTCCAATTCTGGATGTTCTGCCACTTAAATGTCCTAGTTATCAAAACAAATGAAAATCTATCAGTGCTAAACCTGATGAGTATGGACAATGTGAAAGCACCTCCTAGCTTGACGATTTTATTGGGGAGGGGCTTCTTTTGCACAATGTGCCTTTGTATTGCTGTTTACTAAAGCATGCCACTTGTTTATCTGATCAATTTGCTGTTAATAAACGAATGCAGTGATGGTCCTTTCACGCTGCAGTTGTTCGTAATGGACGACAACTTTTATATACAAATAGACATAAAGCAGGGACTTCTCTGTATAAATCCATGGTTTTGGTGTTATAACTGTTTGTCATTAATGGTAACCACTGCATTTTTCGTTTTCATCTCTTATGTTTCATCAACGTGGTCACTTCCTGTCAAGTATCGTTCATGGCGTAGAACTGATTCACTCCTCAGCACGGTTAACACGAGTTGAAGGTTTTTATGCAGGGCAACTAACCAAAGCTGAAGAGTCCTTCCTATTTATTATTATTATTATTATTATTATTATTATAAAAATAGCGTTTCGAACTCTAGATACGATTAACGTGAACATTTGAAGCTCTGAAGACACCCAATAAGTTTCACATCCTAACATGATGGATTTTTTCTACTTTTTAAGCTTAGAATAGAATTTAAAATTTTAACATTAAATTAATTATTTTATTATTATTATTATTTCCTTTGGTTCCTGCTGTATACGCAGACAAAGACATAAGCTCTAAAATAGCTTTTCGTTTGCGGTCTCTAATAACAATGTCTGGGTGGTTAGTTTTATTAATTATTATTATTATTATTATTATTATTATTATTATTATTATTATTATTCACAGCACATGATGTTATTTGTTGGTATGGTAAAAGATAATTTTTTTAATCACCACACGTGACTTAAGAAAATAACCCGGCTATTTGTACTTTTCAGCAACAGGCTGCTGTATTAAACACTTTCCGGAGAATCTACGCTATTCTAAGCAGGCTAACTTTCTGTAACGTTCTATTTCCAAATTACAATCTAATGATTGCAATATTTCCCCATTTCTTTTACAACTCCCCAGTGCTCCAATCATAACTGGTAATGTAATTACTTTCTTTGCTCGTCCTTCCCAACTTTTAAGAATCTTATATTGTCGTTATTATTATTTTATTATTATTATTATTATTATTATTATTATTTCATGAATATTTTATGCCTTCACAACCATTTCCACGTATCATCACAAGAATTATATACTTGACTTGGTAAAAAATGGAATAATTTTTCTTTGCACCCCCCCAAAAAAAAAGAAAAAAAAGAAAGAAAGCGGAATCAAAAATATTTTCTTTCTTTGTCAATATTTTCTCGTATTTCCGAACTGTGAAAAGATTATGAATGTTGATTTTATAGACAGGCAGCCCTTCCATACTATAAGCCTTGCGAAACACAATGTTTCTTCTTCTATTTCTTCTCTACCGTTTATCACTGTGCCAAGCTTACAAAATAACGAAGCTTTTATCAGAAGACTCTAGGGTAATTTGCAATGAGTCTGCTGATCATGTTAGCAATGGTTTGTGAGCTTCCTCTTCTGTGAGCGATCTCAATAGGCGGCTTATGCCAGATTTCTTCATATATATATTTCTTCATTATATCAGAAGACAAAAAAAAAAACCAAAAAAAATCAAATGAAAGTATAAACTCGACCAATGTTACCTTAAAGACTCAAGTATGAACAAGCAATACTTATCTTATGAACTTATATATAAACATGACCAATTATAACCTACGAACTCACTCATGAACATGACTAATTTCAACTGGTAGACTCGACCAATAGTTAGGCATAGAATCGAGTAAATATTCTTTCATTGTTTACTTATAAATTCAAGTATAAATTCGACCGGAAGAGAAGAAAACCTTTGAATTCCAAATCACGGAGAAAGTAACAAGAAATTGACTTATTGTAAAGAAAATTCGTGAAGTGTCTTGATCGCTTATGTTCTGACGATTCACACACACACACACACACACACACACACACACACACACACACACACACACACACATATATATATATATATATAGATAGATAGATAGATATACATATCAGCCTTCCCTGACGATCCGCTTAGGTGAAACCTTCGTAGATTTATTTGGCTCTCTAGGTTTAACTAGGTCTGCTCTACTCATTGTATTGAGCAATTTATTTAGTTATTTTGGATACTAGCATCGGGTTTTTTTTTCTTTGGGCCTTGAACCCGTATACTGGGCGATTATTTTCGGTTAACGTAAATGTTCTTGGTTCTTTCTTTTTTTATACCTTTTTTTTTTCACTTTGGTGTTGGCTTGTTTATTTGCAAATCAATATACCAAAGGTTTTCCGATCGAGTATAGTTTCTTATACTAATAAGATATCTATTATATATATATATATATATATATATATATATATATAGAGAGAGAGAGAGAGAGAGAGAGAGATAGATAGATAGATAGATAGATAGATAGATAGATAGATAGATAGATAGATAGATGTAAGTTTGTGACCCTGGGTTTCAAGCTGTCTGCGATCGTCAGACAATCTAATGGTTGTGTATATCGGTGTTTTATGATCACTGATATTGAGCGCTTTCAATAAGTATCGCGTATATATAATATATATGAAAATTGCATATATATTTATATTTATATACATACAATTTTTTATATATATATATATATATATATATATATATATATATATATATATATATATATATATACACAACAACACACACACACACATATATATATATATATATATATATATATATATATATATATATATATAGTTTTAAGGTATGTTATAGTTATGGGATAAAGTACAGAGGTAGACCGTATGTAAATATAAAATGAAGATTGAAGTCAACACTCAGAGGCAACAGACTGTTTCATGCTAAACGCAATCGTGAAACCGTTACATTTAACGAACTCCCCCCACACACGTATATGGCACAAGGCCGGTTTATCGTGGGTTCTCCGAGCCCGTAGTCTCGGCCAAAAATATTCCCTTCGAACCCGTATAAACGGGTTCAGGGCCTGTCTACTTCCCCGGACGAAACCTTGCTCTTCGTCCAGGTTCTTCTCCGCCGAGGCGGAGAGTTCGACATTAATGAACGGTTTATATCAAGCGTCTGACCGTATGCGTTGTGTTTTTTCTTGACTATTTTATATACTGGTCAGTGAGGCATTGTGGGTAATCTTTTCTATTGTGCGTAATCTATTCTAATGGTAATTTGGTCGGAAGTGGTTTGTTAATTATTTGCTTCATTTATTTATTTGGATTAATTTATTTTACTTGTTTTGGCTTATTTTTATTTTATTTATTTTGATTTATTCGATCACCCACAATGCATCACAATTATGTTACCTGAATACGAACACACACACACACACACAGAGTATATATATATATATATATATATATAAGAAGGAAGGTGTGGGAAGAGTGCCACAAATAATGGTAACAGTCTTTCAAGGAAGAGGCAGAAACGGTTATCTTTAGATTTTAACGTCCGGTGTATGTAAATGTTAACCGATCTCACCCAGCTCTCAATCGCTTTCGTTTCTATACTTATTTTAATCACTATCTTTCCAAAGTAAGCAGCCAATGGACACATTTTAAAGGAAAAAAATTGTGGAGAATCTACGATCACCAATTTCCTGAAGGGACGTGGTATTTTGAATTGATATCAAATGATACAGCGGGAGGTATTCGACTTTTTTCTTTCTTTCTTTTTTTACAGCAAGGTTCACCCTGTACAAGGCCCGGGGGCTACTCTTGGTAGAGAACTTACTTCTCACCGATGGAATACGGAGAGAATCTGGGTGGTTTGCTCTATGTAAGTGGCATGACGTGTTTTTGCTGTGAAGGTTTACCTCGTCGGGACCAAGGAACACTTTCCGTGGAATCAAAGATAGAGTAGCGAGAGGCTTACTACGTCCCGCCTGTGGGAGAAAGGCTAGAAAGTTGAGAAGATTCATCATCTACAAGACCTCAGAGACGCCTTTGTACTTTATCAAGGCTGTAGAGTGTGGTCTGAGCAGCTCCCGTCCAAATATGACAACAGTATTCCATTTTTGACCTGATCTGGCTCTTGTAAAGTTAGAGGATATCAGGAGGAGCCAGGTATTTACAGGAGCGGTACAATGAGCCGACCATTTTATCTGCATCCTTAGCAATAGATCGTATGTACGAATTCTACTTGAGGTCACTTGCAAGTTTGAGGCTCAATAGTCTTTCAAAGGCATTTTGCTTGGTGGTAGTTCGGGGTCCGATTGGCGACGATTGTATGAAACTAGTTTGCTTTTTGAGGCATTAAATGCCACCAGCCAGTTTCCTCCCATTGAGATGTTATAGCTAGGCCAGTGAAGAGATCAGCTACCAATCTCTGGTCGTCTAGAGTTCTGGAGGTGCACCCATACACCGTTGTGTCATCAGCATACAGATTCGAATAGATTCAGAATAAAGCATTAACGTTTTAAGATAAGTATTTTTCATAGATTAATAAAATACGGGCTCGTATATATATGACAACAGTAATCTGTTTTGGACCTAATCTGGTCTCTTGTGAAGGTAGAAGATAGCAGGAGTCAGGTACTTACTGGAGCGGTACAAAGAGACGACCATTTTACCTGCATCTTTAGCAATAGATCGTATGTACGAATTCTACTTGAGGTCGGGTGTGAGTTTGAGGCCCAACAGTCTTTCAAGTCACAGTACTCCCCCGAGAGAAATCGGAACGAAAAGAAGCAATATCCTCTCAAGCCGCCTCTTCTGCTCCAATAACTTCATGTCTCGCACTTACCGTCTGTGGAACTCCCGTCCTCTTACTTGCTTCTCTGATAGCTATAATCTCCAATTATTCAAAAGTAATGCCAATCGACATCTTCTAATGTCTTGATCTAATTCCCCGTCCTTCTCTTTAACCTTTCTTCAATCATGTATGTTTTCTCTTGCTCCCACTCTCTGTAACCCCCTTGCGTGCTAGTGGCACTACCGCCTTGCTTGGGGTGGCACTCCCGCCTTGCTTCGGGTGAAAAGCTTTAAAAAAAAGAAGCGAAAAGATAAAAGGAAGTAAAATGAAAAAGAAAGAAAAATAAAGGATAAAATGAAAAGAAAACTGAGAAGAGCGTGTAAAGAAAGAGGGAAAAGAGAAAAGGAAAAAAAGAAAAAAAAATACGAAGGAAAGTCGAGAAAGACGAGGAAGGAAGGAAAAAGGGGAAAGGGAAATAAGAGGGTGATAAATGAAAAATAAATGCAAAGAACAGTACCACAGAAAAATGGTAAAAAGGAGTAGAACAGGAAAAAGTGCAGCGTGAGGCAGAAGAAGACAATTAAGGAAAAAGAGGAAATTAGATGAAAAAAAAAATGAAAAGCAAGACAACGTTAAAGTAATAAATGAGTGAAAAAAGAAAAGAAACCATGGAAAAAAGGGAACAAAAAGAGAGAGAAGATAAAGGAAAACCGAGCAAATTAAAATATGAAAGAAAATAAAAAGAAATATTTGAATGAAAAGGAGAACTGGAAATCGTTAAGAAGCGGGAAAAAAGAAGCCGAGAGAAAAAAAAAAAAAAAAAAGAATGAAGAAAACAAAATAAAAAAGTAAAAGAAGACCCAAATAACATGATCGTAAAAAAAAGAAAACAACTGAAAATAAGGAAAAAAGTCGAGGTAAAAACAAAATGGCAACACTAAAATAAATTAACGCATGGAAATGTAGAAACAAAAGTTAATAATACGCATCAGACTCTATGACTAGCAAACCACGCCAAAAGGACTTTAGCTTTTTGCTGAACATTCATCAAAACTTTGTTAGAAACTTTACACTTCAAGTATACAATTAACACACTTATATCCATGCATTGTTGCATTCCTAATGCGTATAGAGTGGAAAAGATAAGACAGAAAAAAAAGGAAGCGAACAAAAATGGCGGTAAAGAAAAAAACCCTAATGGCGGATGTTATGCTTTCTGTTACGTGGATGTGTTGCAACTGACTCAAAACAGCAGAACTAATGATAGAATAAAGCATACATGACCGGGAGTCATCAGTTGGTCAAAACAAAAAGTCAAGACTTTCGTGAACTCGTTGGCCCCGATTTGTCTGCCGAAAGAGTCTCAAGAGAGATACGCTTTCTCGTTAGGTACTCTTCGGCCCGAGATAAGCAGACAATTAGACTTGGTTAGATAGTCAGTGTTTTTGTAAGAGGTTATATCTAACTGTGCACTTCAATTATTTGAAAGTTTCACTGTGCTATTGATATATATATATATATATATATATATATATATATATATATATATATATATATATATATACGAATGACACCGCACAGTGAATGCTGGTAGTAATAATGAAACAGTGCTCAATATAAAATTTATACTAAGAAGAATGATATATCTGTCTCTTATCGGGCAATGCTAATTAATGTTTCATGCTCATAACAATCGTCAGACACAAATTCACTGCTTGATGATTGTTATGTGCATGAAAATATAAGTAGCATCGAGTAGTAAGGAGTATATTTATAATTCTTATTTATTTCTATCTATCTGTGTATCTATCAATCTATCCACACACACACACACATATATATATATATATATATATACTTCTTGAAAATATATTTACGTTGATTTGCTTTAATACAAAGCCCTTCAGTAAAAATGAATGGAACACTTCGGTTGTTGCGCGTTTGTTTACATTTGTAAAAACAATACGCTAGATTTGGCCGACTCATTCTGGCGAGTGAAGATAGCTAAGTGGTAGACACTTTGACTGACACTAAATCTGCTGTGTTTCAATCTTTGCTTGAAGCGTTCGGTTGTCTAGGCGTACTGAAGAGCTGTGATACAACGAAACAGTACTGCCAGCGAATGACATATATATATATATATATATATATATATATGGTGTAAATTGTCCCCATATTATATTTTTTAATTTTCGCGTATTGGCGTTGTTTGTTTTTTTGGTTTTGTCGACTGCTCAGTATAGTAGGGTCAGTTTGGCATCGTCTGCGAGAAAACGAACAACACGACTAATTCACACCGCCAGAAATTTGGAGACGGCATTCTGTACTGCTTGGTATTCGTGCTGGAACATTTGAGAGTGCTTGAGTATTGATCTGAGGACAGTGGGGAGGATTCAGAAAGAGCTTGTTGAGTCTAATGGTGATTACGAATGTATCTGGAATGATTAGTTGTCCTGGCGATGTTATGCCTCCATTCAACAGGGCCTCAGATTCAACATGAAGACCTACATCGTGTCTTGAGGTGGTAGTGCTGACCTAGGTTAAGAGGGTGGTTGCTGGTCGACCCTATGTCTGGCAACAGGTGTCTGCACCATGCTACACAAGCAGGAGAACTCAGTAATAACCGTCAAACAATTTTTGTGACCACCTAAACGCTTGCATCTAGCCACCAGCTCTCTTTTGATTATTACATATGGAGCGCAGTTGAGCAAGAGACCAAGAAGGCTTCTTGTATCACCAAAGACGGATTTAAGGCAAGGATTATGGCATCATTGATCAACTTAAACAAGAGTTGCAGAAGATTGCGATGTCGTCTGGAGGCCGGGATAGAGGACAATAGTGATTCTATTGAATAAAGTTAATATTTATTATTTCATGACAACATATATATATATATATATATATATATATATATAATTATTTATTTAAAAAAAATTTATAACATAAATATGTTATAAAAACACTACAAAAATAGCCATTTTGTTTCAACACACTCGGTGTCTTATCAAGTGGTTATGTTGAATGTAAAATAAATGGTTTTAAAGTTTATATATATATATATATATGAAGAAATATAGTTTTAAGCTTGTGCTATATTTATGGGATAAAATGTTCAAAATAAGAGATAGAGCGTATGTAAATACATAAGGGAACATTGAAGTCAACACTTAGGTGAGACAGACTGTTTCTTGCTAGACGCAATTATCAGACCACATATGTTGGGTTTCTCTTGACTATCTATATATACAGGTCAGTGGTGCATTGTGGAATAAATAAATATTTAAAATAAAAATAGATAAAAAAACAAGTAAAAAATATCCCAAAAAATAAATAAACAAACCACTTCTACTCAAATAACCGTTAGAATGGACTACCCACAATGCACTACTGACCCTTCAATTATATATATATATATATATATATATATATATATATATATATATATATATATATATTTAAACGACCAAGATAACTATTTATATTTGCGTATTTATCGATATTAGTTATATCCGTGATTACATTTAAATTTAAAATAGCTAAATTTGCTGTTGAAAAAGAGATTTAAGGCCGGCACAAAATTCATAGGAATGCAATTGATGATAACTGATGGCGAAATAAAAAGAGGACGCTGCTGACTGTTTTAAATAGTTGAAGAAACGATGTCATACAGGTATGTGTCACCAAAAGACGCCCCTTGAAGAGTAATAAGGCGCCGTCGTCCAAGGGAAGACTAGTCTCGCTCATGAATGAATTCTTTATGGCCATATCTCATATGAATTACAGTTTATACTCGTGGATGATTTTACAATTTTTCAAAGTCTCTTAAATCTTAATTGAAATGTGATGTTACTTGGATAAAGTGAATAAGGGTAAAGTATATATATATATATATATATATATATATATATATATTATAGATATGTAATCATACAAAATGAATCAGTAAAGTTTATGTAATCAATGGCGAAATCTCTTCGCTAACAAATTTAATAGAGCATTAACCAACTAACAATTCGTTGAATCATTGAGATGAAATGTAGATTATAATCCGACAGAATGATAAGACAAAGAACAAATTGCATATATATATATATATATATATATATATATATATATATATATATATCCAAACGAGTTTATTTAAAATAACCGACAAAGTCTGTTTGTTTAATTTTATAATATTTTTAGTATTTTCGTATAAGGTGCTTAGTATGTTGCTTGAAGCAGTGAATAAACTGCCCAAAGTCCATATTTTCTTATTTTGGTTCAATTCCATTTAATATATAATATAACTTAACATTTTAAGTTTAAAATTTGCTATATTCATTGAGAAAGAGTGCTCGGTACTGGGGATAGAGCGCATGTATATTTAAACAATGGGAACAATCAATACTCTAGAGTGACTGGCAGCTTCAGACCTTAATCAATCATCGAACCCATCTATCTATGACTTTAAAACAGGTATTTTAAACGATATATATATATATATATATATATATATATATATATATATATATATATTACAATAACGTGCAATCAATTTACAAATACATGAATTATTCACAAAAACTAATGCAAAGGTTAATGATTTAAATGGCGAGACATCCATCCATCGCAAACAATTCAAATAGTACACAAAAACCTCCAAATCCGTTATGAATGAATTGATCCTTGTTCAATAAATTTCTGCCGTATTAGTTGTTATTTTTTACTACAAAGCTTTCGTCTGTTCCTACAGACATCTTCAGGTATAAATAGATTTTGGCGTTCAAAAAAACCAATATCTCATTTTCAATAGCATTTCGGATATAATACATATATTTTCGATGTCCTCTTATTACTAAGAGAAAAAACAAGAACAACATCTATTATATACCTGAAGATGTCTGCAGAACAGACGAAAGCTTGTAGTAAAAATAAAACTAATACGGCAGAAATTTATATGAAGAAGGATCAATTCATTCATAACGGATTTGAGGTTTTCTGTAATATTTGAATTGTTTGCGAGAAGGATGTCTCGCCATTTAAATCATTAACCTTTTGCATTAGTTTTGTGTGAATAATTCATGTATATATATATATATATATATATATATATATATATATCACCCGACATTCAATTTTCAGACCTCAGCGTATGCGGAAATGAACCTGAATGTATGTTCTGCTCTCAATTTAGTTCAATGAATTATTACAAACGTCAATGCGGTGCTGAACATGTCAGAAATAATCAAAATTTTGACACTAGGTTTGATTAGTATGTACAAGCTAATATCCATCAAGAGCAGCATGAAAATTAGCCGACACTCGTTAATACATTCGGCTCTGCGATTGTGGAACATTTAATATAATCCAAATTTTGTCTTGTCGTTTATCAGAGAGCCTTCTTAGTAACCAGCTTATCACATTCGGATTAACATGTGAGAGTTACTGAGATTGTGTGAATCTGTCACGCACGAACATGCATTCATACATACAAAAATACAAATCACATACAACGCCAAGCATTCATTGGTTAATTAATCACCACTACGTTATTATAGACAATTTACTAATCGCAGTAATGCGACAATTTTGTAATCACTCTATTTTTATGTCGTCAGTTTTGTGCACTTTTGGGAGAAACGGATCACAAAAGCTTTCTTAACTCTCCCCAAAGCTCGCTAGCTGATTTGTCGATGGCAGCCAATCAGATCGTCTGCACGTGAAGAATAATTCTTCCCGCGCAGCGATCTGGAGCCTACAGTCACTTATTTAAGCAGGAATTTTTTAAAAACATTTTTTAGTGAGAATCCAACTGCCAAACTAATCCACGACAGTTGAAACCATGCGGCAACCTTCTCACTCACACACATCACTCACATGCTGAACATACCTTGTATACACTCACATAATCTTTTCTTACACAGCAAAAGGTTTCAAGAAAAAAAAAAAAACACATTACAAGAGACTTTCACGAACATTGTTCCAGTGGACTTTGGAACACTAAAATAAAAGTTAAAGAGAGACAACTCTTGTTTTATTTAACCTTTTACTTAAATGCATGCTTTTTTTTTCACATCCGTGTTTGATATTGTATATCTTGTTAAATACATATTTTATGTGTAATAATGTCTTTTGTCTATCCATTTCTGCGTCAGCCCTCTTTCCTAATCTAAAGTTAAATTAATGTGTTGAAGTCTGCCACGAGATCATTATCAAGTCCGCAAGCAGAAGACATAGCTTTTGGTTATATATATATAATCTGTTTGTGATTTATAGGCTGATTCTCTGATAA